GGGTGACAAAACCCATCATGTCCTGCACATTCTTGTGTGTGGGGGGGGGGGGGAGGGGGGTCGTGAGCTAAGCTGTGAATGAATGGTTTGACTCGTGTATTTCACCGTACATGGATGCCTATGGATGAATATTGAGATGTATTCACGCACATTCAGATGGGTGTGTACAATTGTTGGGAGGGTGGTATGAGGGATTGGTGGGAGGGATTGGGTTGGAGGGATTGGGTTGGTGGGAGGGATTGGGTTGGAGGGATTTGTGGGAGGGATTGGGGAAGGGGAAGTTAGCTGGTGTGTGTGTGTGTGTCGGTCGTTTAGGGACTATGTAATGTGGGGCGGGCGTAGTTCCCGAGGTGCGTGTGTCCGCCCACACGCCCCCCCTCCGTCTCTCCCCCACACCTGTACCACTGCATCCTACCTCACCCACGCCCTAACATACCTGTACCCAGCCTCCACCCACTCTTCCCCACACCTGTAGCCAGCCTCCACCCACTCTTCCCCACACCTGTACCCACTCTTCCCCACACCTGTACCCAGCCTCCACCCACTCTTCCCCACACCTGTACCCAGCCTCCACCCACTCTTCCCCCCCCCACCTGTACCCAGCCTCCACCCACTCTTCCCCCCCCACCTGTACCCAGCCTCCACCCACTCTTCCCCCCCCCCCACCTGTACCCAGCCTCCACCCACTCTCCCCCCCCCACCTGTACCCAGCCTCCACCCACTCTTCCCCCCCCACCTGTACCCAGCCTCCACCCACTCTTCCCCCCCCACCTGTACCCAGCCTCCACCCACTCTTCCCCCCCCCCACCTGTACCCAGCCTCCACCCACTCTTCCCCCCCCACCTGTACCCAGCCTCCACCCACTCTTCCCCCCCCCCCCACCTGTACCCAGCCTCCACCCACTCTTCCCCCCCCCCACCTGTACCCAGCCTCCACCCACTCTTCCCCCCCCCCACCTGTACCCAGCCTCCACCCACTCTTCCCCCCCCCCACCTGTACCCAGCCTCCACCCACTCTTCCCCCCCCACCTGTACCCAGCCTCCACCCACTCTTCCCCCCCCACCTGTACCCAGCCTCCACCCACTCTTCCCCCCCCACCTGTACCCAGCCTCTACCCACTCTTCCCCCCCCCCACCTGTACCCAACCTCCACCCACTCTTCCCCCCCCACCTGTACCCAGCCTCCACCCACTCTTCCCCCCCCCACCTGTACCCAGCCTCCCCCACTCTTCCCCCCCCCACCTGTACCCAGCCTCCCACCCACTCTTCCCCCCCCCCACCTGTACCCAGCCTCCACCCACTCTTCCTCCCACACCTGTACCCAGCCTCCACCCACTCTTCCTCCCACACCTGTACCCAGCCTCCACCCACTCTTCCTCCCACACCTGTACCCAGCCTCCACCCACTCTTCCTCCCACACCTGTACCCAGCCTCCACCCACTCTTCCCCCCACACCTGTACCCAGCCTCCACCCACTCTTCCCCACACCTGTATAACCCCCTTGCTCTTCGCTTCTTTCATTCTTGTTTATCTTCTCACGCGGTCATTCACCTTTAGAGTTCTCCTCTCTTTTCTCTTCTCACACACACTGCTCCAACTGCCTTCTCCAGAACCTCGCACACTTCCTCCTGACCTCTACCTCCAGAGGGTCACCTCCCTCCCTGCCTCTCTCACTCCCTCCTCCTCCTCCTCCTCCTCCTCCTCCTCCTCAGCCTGTCATGCGACACAGTGCGAGGACAAACAGTAAACACATACTGTTGACACTGGCGTACGCATACCGTACGCCAACATAATGTTGATCTTAAAGCAGAAAACACAGCTCGTGCCGCTACCTCAGCGTGTGTCTCAGAGTGAGTTGTTGAGCTCTGGCTCTTTGGTCCCGCCTCTCAACTGTCTCGAGAATTTAAGATCTCACGAGCACTGTGCCTACACCGATGGCTCAGTCCAGTCTTCTACTGGACGGACTGCAGCAGCATGTAGGTTTTATAGAAATAATATTTGCACAAAGACTGTCAGTGTCAGGTTAAACAACTGGCTGACCTCCACACAAGCAGAACTAGCAGCAGTACATTAAAAAAAACATTGGAGGAGGAGTAATATTTTGTGATTCAAAGTCTGCTCTTCAAGCAATTGAAAACTTCTCCTGGAAGATCGTCAGCAAGAACCTCATACTCCCAATTATAAATGACCTAATTGATGCACAGAGTAAAGGGTCTCGAATCTCCTTTGTATGGATACCTTCACACATAAATATAACCCATCATAATGAGACAGACATTGCAGCCAAATTAGCTTGTAACAAGGATGAAGTTGAATTAGATCTAGGTATCCCCATCTCTGCTGTCAAAACTGTATTGGTCCAAACACTCAGGTCTGATAGGAAAGAACTTACTGACTCCCAACGACCTGAAAGTACTAGTATAAAAAGCTATGATTTGTTCAGATCTGAAACCTACATCTATGGGCAGCACAAAACGTCCACCAGACTGTGCGACACAGTGGTTGCAAGGATCAGGTTGGGTTACAGTTACCTGTGGCAGGTGGCTGCAGGTGACGGATCTCCCAATCCTGAGCACTCCAGTTGCAAACTCTGTGAGCAGGAACTACGGCACGATCTCCCGCAATACATCACTGAATGCCCAGTTATTAGACCTTTCAGACCAGTTGGCATGAGGTACCTGGAGCTTTCCAATTACTTTATTCACTCGTATTCTTGAAGATATCCTCACAGTATACCCAAAATTTGCCAGTGCAGGCTATTAAACACATGGCCCTGTATGACTAACCATCCTGCGAGATGGGGACTTGTATTACCACTGCTACCTTATTCAATCTTGTGTTGATGATATCCTCAAAATGCATCCGAAGTCTGCCAGTGCAGACCGCTTATCACATGCCTCTGTATGACTAACCATCCTGTGTGATGGGGATTTTTTTAGCATCACCTAGTTAGCTTTTTGACACACTGTACTCCACTTCATATAGTCTAGGGTAGCTGCACTAATGCAGATGTACCTAATGTGTTAAAAAAAAATTCATTTGTTAACTACTCTGATACTGAAAAAGTTCTTTGTAACGTCCCTGTGGCTCATGTGGGTACTCGATTTCCATCTGTGTCCCCTTGTGCGTGTGCCGCCTGTGTTAAATATACAGTATTGTCTTTATCTACCATATGAATTTCTGAGAATCTTTTTCTGTGGTGATCATGTCTTCACTAACTCTTCTTTCTTCCAGCGACCTGAGGTTTAGGTCCCTTAGTTATATATATTACCTGATAGCTGACTGTGTCCCACGCACACACTCCTAGAGAGTGTGAGTGAGTGAGTGAGTGAGTGTGTGTGTGTGTGTGTGTGTGTGTGTGTGTGTGTGTGTGTGTGTGTGTGTGTGTGTGTGTGTGTGTGTGTGTGTACTCACCTAGTTGTCACCTAGTTGTGTTTGCAGGGGTTGAGCTCTGGCTCTTTGGTCCCGCCTCTCAACTGTCAATCAACAGGTGTACAGATTCCTGAGCCTATCGGGCTCTGTCATATCTACATTTGAAACTGTGTATGGAGTCAGCCTCCACCACATCACCCCCTAATGCATTCCATTTGTCAACCACTCTGACACTAAAAAAGTTCTTTCTAATATCTCTGTGGCTCATTTGGGCACTCAGTTTCCACCTGTGTCCCCTTGTGCGTGTTTCCCTTGTGTTAAATAGACTGTCTTTATCTACCCTATCAATTCCCTTCAGAATCTTGAATGTGGTGATCATGTCCCCCTAACTCTTCTGTCTTCCAGCGAAGTGAGGTTTAATTCCCGTAATCTCTCCTCGTAGCTCATACCTCTCAGCTCGGGTACTAGTCTGGTGGCAAACCTTTGAACCTTTTCCAGTTTAATCTTATCCTTGACTAGATATGGACTCCATGCTGGGGCTGCATACTCCAGGATTGGCCTGACATATGTGGTATACAAAGTTCTGAATGATTCTTTACACAAGTTTCTGAATGCCGTTCGTATGCTGGCCAGCCTGGCATATGCCGCTGATGTTATCCGCTTGATATGTGCTGCAGGAGACAGGTCTGGCGTGATATCAACCCCCAAGTCTTTTTCCTTCTCTGACTCCTGAAGAATTTCCTCTCCCAGATGATACCTTGTATCTGGCCTCCTGCTCCCTACACCTATGTGTGTGTGTGTGTGTGTGTGTGGTGTGTGTGTGTGTGTGTGTGTGTGTGTGTGTGTGTAATTACCTAAGTAATTACCTAAGTGTAGTTACAGGATGAGAGGTGGTGGTGTCCCGTCTCCCCAGCACTCTTTGTCATATAATGCTATAAAAAATGAGCTAATTATCCCCAATGCTTAGCTTGATCTCTGGATTGTGAGGCTGCAGAGAGCGCTCCCACAGCTTGGCTTCTGCGACTCCTAAAGAAAATGCGCCCAATCATTTGTGCGTCGGCCGGGATTCGAACCTGGAATTCTCGTCTGTGAGTCGAGAATGAATTAACGTTACTCTTGGATTTCATCAAAATCCAAAAATGATTTCATCAAAATGTATGTATGTATGTGTGTGTGTGTGTGTGTGTGTGTGTGTGTGTGTGTGTGTGTGTGTGTGTGTGTGTGTGTGTGTGTGTGTGTGTAAAATTATAGTAACAGTTGATTAATTGACAGTTCAGAGGCGGGTCGAAAGAGCAGGGCTCAACCCCCCACAAGCACAACTAGGTGAATACAACTTGGTGAATACATTGGAAGATGTATCTGGCCCGCAGGCCCACATACCCACAACAGCCCGGTTGGTCCGGCACTCCTTGAAGAAAACTATCTAGTTATCTCTTTAAGATGTCCACGGTTGTTCCGGCAATATTTCTTATGCTCGCTGGGAAGACGTTGATCCACGGACCTTTGATGTTTATACAGTGTTCTAGTGTAAGCTCTGCTCAAGGGACCGTTCAGAGCACCACGTCAGAGCCAGCCTGGCAACACCCCAGCATGGATACACGTAACGTGTAGGCAAGGTGAAGGTGTAAGATAGTGGAGGGAAGCTAGAGGGAGGAGAAGGTGGAGGCAAGCTAGAGGGAGGAGAAGGTGGAGACAAGCTAGAGGGAGGAGAAGGTGGAGGCAAGCTAGAGGGAGGAGAAGGTGGAGACAAGCTAGAGGGAGGAGAAGGTGGAGGCAAGCTAGAGGGAGGAGACGGTGGAGGCAAGCTAGAGGGAGGAGACGGTGGAGGCAAGCTAGAGGGAGGAGACGGTGGAGACAAGCTAGAGGGAGGAGACGGTGGAGACAAGCTAGAGGGAGGAGACGGTGGAGACAAGCTAGAGGGAGGAGACGGTGGAGACAAGCTAGAGGGAGGAGAAGGTGGAGACAAGCTAGAGGGAGGAGAAGGTGGAGACAAGCTAGAGGGAGGAGACGGTGGAGACAAGCTAGAGGGAGGAGAAGGTGGAGACAAGCTAGAGGGAGGAGACGGTGGAGACAAGCTAGAGGGAGGAGACGGTGGAGACAAGCTAGAGGAAGGTAAGGAGTCTGAGGGACCTGAGGCTGGTTAAGGGGGGAAGAATGTCTTTGTTGTCACCAGAGAATGGTCCAACACCCTCCAACATCCTCCCAAACTACAGATAGTATTTTTTTCCCTTTGGGTTTTTTCACCCAAAATATTCTGAAGTTTCTTCGCCATTTCTTCCTGGGATTTTTATATGGCGCTTTCAATTGTAGTTGAGCAATATTTCTCCAGCTAGATCATCTAAGCGTGTTGGTGAGTGGGAGGACGGGTAGTATAGAGTCGAGATGATCTTGGCTTGTAGTGATAGGGTTGTTGTTGCTTGTAGTTTGCATAGCTTGAGTCTTTTGTTTTATTGTCCATGATGTATGGAAGAGGTTCCTAGAGGCGTTACGCCCCTGGTCAGTTGCCTCGTGTCCTCCACAACTCTCCGCCTGTGTCCCTGTGTACTCTCTCCTCCCCTTCCCCACCTCACCATTATCCTCGGCTCCTTTTTATCATCGAATTCTTTACTTTCCTTCCTCCTCCTCCTACGCCGTCGCCGCCTCCTGCTCTTCCCGCTGGTGGCGTGCAACGCGCGCGATAAAAAGGGGCGGGAAGCCCTCTCGACGCTCCCGGGACTTTCCTTTATCTGCCAAATCTTTTCCGCAACGGTCCATGATTTACAGATTTTCTCTCTATTTGATGGATATGAGAAGAGGGAGGAAGGAAGAGGGGTGGAAAATAGAGGGAGGGAGGGGGAGAGAGTGAGTGAAGGGGAGAAGGGCGAGATGATGGGAAGGGGCAGTAAGGAGGGACATAACGAGAGGAGTCAGGAAAGGAAGGATGGAGGCGGAGAAGAGAGCGAGATAAAAGAACTAATATAAGGAAGTGAGAAAGTGGGGGGGGGGGGGGGGGAAGAAGAGAGAGAGAGAGAGAGAGAGAGAGAGAGAGAGAGAGAGAGAGAGAGAGAGAGAGAGAGAGAGAGAGAGAGAGAGAGAGAGAGAGAGAGAGAGAGGAGAGAGAGAGAGGATAACGAGAGTGAGTCAGGAAAGGAAGGATGGAGGCGGAGAAGAGAGCGAGATAAAAGAACTAATATAAGGAAGTGAGAAAGTGTTGGGGGAGGGGGGGGAGAGAGAGAGAGAGAGAGAGAGAGAGAGAGAGAGAGAGAGAGAGAGAGAGAGAGAGAGAGAGAGAGAGAGAGAGAGAGAGAGAGAGAGAGAGAGAGAGAGAGAGAGAGAGAGAGAGAGAGAGAGAGAGGAGGGGGGGGGGGGAGAGAGCGAGGGAAGAAAGGGGGGAGGGGGGAAGAGCACATCTTCCCCCCGTTGCAGGAATGATTGTCAGCCCTTGTTGTCGAACCTGTCCATCCGTGGACGTGTAACACAACGACTCGACCTAATACTCTACCCTCACATGTACTTACAACACTACGGATGGACTAGGCTCCAACGACCTCCTGCTAAACTCCTCTTCACCCTGCTACCCTTACCCCAAGTGAACTCTCCTCTGTGTCTCCACTCCTCATATTCTCCCGCTCACCCCTTGTTCGTGTTCCATCCATGCTAAATAGTTTTGTCTTTGTCCACCCTGTCAATTCGTATTTGGTAGGTGATGCTCATGCCTCCCCTTAGTCTAGTCTTCCAGGGAGTGAGGTTTAACTCCCGTAGCTTCTCTTGGAAGATCGACTCCCCAATTATAAATGACCTAATTGATGCACAGAGTAAAGGGTCTCGAATCTCCTTTGTATGGATACCTTCACACATAAATATAACCCATCATAATGAGACAGACATTGCAGCCAAATTAGCGTGTAACAAGTTTGAAGTTGAATTAGATCTAGGTATCCCCATCTCTGCTGTCAAAACTGTATTGGTCCAAACATTCAGATCTGATAGGAAAGAACTTACTGACTCCCAACGACCTGAAAGTACTAGTATAAAAAGCTATGATTTGTTCAGATCTGAAACCTACATCTATGGACAGCACAAAACGTCCACTAGACTGTGCGACACAGTGGTTGCAAGGATCAGGTTGGGTTACCGTTACCTGTGGCAGGTGGCTGCAGGTGACGGGTCTCCCAATCCTGAGCACTCCAGTTGCAAACTCTGTGAGCAGGAACTACGGCATGATCTCCCGCACTACATCACTGAATGCCCAGTTATTAGACCTTTCAGACCAGTTGGCATGAGGTACCTGGAGCTTTGCAATTACTTTATTCACTCTCGTATTCTTGAAGATATCCTCACAGTATACCCAAAATTTGCCAGTGCAGGCTATTAAACACATGGCCCTGTATGACTAACCATCCTGCGAGATGGGGACTTGTATTACCACTGCTGCCTTATTCAATCTTGTGTTGTTGATATCCTCAAAATGCATCCGGAGTCTGCCAGTGCAGACCGCTTATCACATGCCTCTGTATGACTAACCATCCTGTGTGATGGGGATTTTTTAGCATCACCTAGTTAGCTTTTTTGACACACTGTACTCCACTTCATATAGTCTAGGGTAGCTGCACTAATGCAGATGTACCTAATATGTTAATAAAAAAAAAAAAAAAACCTGCCTAAATGCAGATGTATCTAAATGTGTTAATAAAAAAAAAATCCATCCCCAAGAGAAAAGTCATGTCCCTATAACTTTCAAGGTCAACAACCAGAACATTGAAACGCGTAGGCAGCACAAATACCTTGGAGTTGGTATTAACAGTGACATTGTAAATGATCTACACCGTAGGTTAAAAGAAAGACTAAAACCATTGAGAACACTTACTGGTAAGAATATTGGTATTAATATTAAATATGCTACACTATTCTATATGATGTTTGTTAGATCTCTCGTTGATTATAATGCTCTGCACTCAATTTCCCCGCCTCTGTGTTGGACAAACTTGAAGTAATACAGAATGAGGCCATGAGGTTAATTCTTGGTGCCCCAAGATGCACAAGAATCATCAACATGCAGGAAGAACTGAAGTTTCCAACCATACTAGAGAGAATAATGCAAGTCAACACCACCTTTTGCCTTAAAGTCATGAAAGACCCAACATCTCCTGCATTGCTCAGAGACAAATTATTTAGTGCTGTTAACACCCTACTGACTGGTGCCGACAAACCAACTCACTCCCTGTCACCAAGAAAGATAATGAGAATCTTGCTCTTCTCAAAGCTGTCACACTTGAAACAATTGCCTCCTCCATCGAGAATTTAAGATCTCACGAGCACTGTGTCTACACCGACGGCTCAGTCCAATCTTCTACTGGACGGACTGCAGCAGCATGTAGGTTTTATAGAAATAATATTTGCACAAAGACTGTCAGTGTCAGGTTAAACAACTGGCTGACCTCCACACAAGCAGAACTAGCAGCATTACAACTAGCTACCAGTACATTAAAAAACATTGGAGGAGGAATAATATTTTGTGATTCAAAGTCTGCTCTTCAAGCAATCGAAAACTTCTCCTGGAAGATCGACAGCAAGAACCTCATACTCCCAATTATAAATGACCTAATTGCTGCACAGAGTAAAGGGTCTCGAATCTCCTTTGTATGGATACCTTCACACATAAATATAACCCATCATAATGAGACAGACATTGCAGCCAAATTAGCGTGCAACAAAGATGAAGTTGAATTAGATCTAGGTATCCCCATCTCTGCTGTCAAAACTGTATTGGTCCAAACACTCAGGTCTGATAGGAAAGAAATTACTGACTCCCAACGACCTGAAAGTACTAGTATAAAAAGCTATGATTTGTTCAGATCTGAAACCTATATCTATGGGCAGCACAAAACGTCCACTAGACTGTGCGACACAGTGGTTGCAAGGATCAGGTTGGGTTACCGTTACCTGTGGCAGGTGGCTACAGGTGACGGATCTCCCAATCCTGAGCACTCCAGGTGCAAACTCTGTGAGCAGGAACTGCGGCATGATCTCCCACACTACATCACCGAATGCCCAGTTATTAGACCTTTCAGACCAGTTGGCATGAGGTACCTGGAGCTTTGCAATTACTTTATTCACTCTCGTATTCTTGAAGATATCCTCACAGTGTACCCAAAATTTGCCAGTGCAGGCTACTAAACATATGGCCCTGTATGACTAACCATCCTGCGAGATGGGGACTTTTAGTATCACTGCTACCTTATTCACTCTTGTGTTGATGATGATATCCTCATAATTCACTCGGAGTTTGCCAGTGAAGCCTACTTATCACGTGCCTCTGTATGACTATCCTGTGTGATGGGGATTTTTTAGCATCACGTAGCTAGCTTTTTGACACACTGTACTCCCCTTCATATAGTCTAGGGTAGCTGCACAAATGCAGATGTACCTAATGTGTTAATAAAAAACAAATTCTTCTAAGGTTGCTTGGTTTGCTGCCTCCTTTCTTAGTACAGGGGCTTCTCCTTGTTCTACGGTGAAGACCTCCTGGAATATCTTGTTGAATTCTTCATATACATCCTTGTCATGCTCTCTGTATCTGTTCTCCCCTTTTATCAGTTTCATCTCTTTTCCTTCACTGCTGTTTTCCTCTTGATGTGGCTGTGGAGCAGTTTTGGTTGGGTCTTGGCTTTACTCGCTATGTCATTTTCATACTGTCTCTCTGTTTCTCTTCTCACTCTGAGGTACTCATTCCTGGCCCTCTGGTATCTCTCCCTGCTCTCTGGTGTTCTCCTATTCCTGTAGTTTATCCATGTTCTTCTACTCAATTGCTTCGCTACCTTACATTCCTGACTGAACCGTGGTGTCTTTATTTTTTTAATTTTTATCCTTTTGAGCCGGGATAAACCTGTCTGCACCTTCCTGGCATTTCTGGGTGACGTAGTCTATCATATCTTAAAGAGTCTTTTCTCCGAGTTCTGTTACCCATAGTATTCCCATTAGGAAGTTTCTCATTTTGTCATATTTTCCTCATCGGTAAGTCAGCCTTTTCCTTTCGGATCCCTTCTTTGGATAGGTTATCCCTACCTCTACCAGATACTCAAATGTCAATACACTGTGGTCACTCATTCCTATGGGGGCTTCAAATGTGACTTCCTTTATGTCTGACTCATTCAAGGTGAATATC